AGATATTTTGGGCGGATGCGGTGCATACGGCAGCTTACCTTATTAATTACGGACCATCAGTTCCATTGGATTTTAGGATTCCAGAGGAGGTTTGGAGTGAAAAGAAGATAAATATCTCACACTTGTGGGTATTTGGTTGCGTGGCTTATGTTCATATTAGTGATCACGTCAGGGACAAGTTAGAAGCTAAGTCACAGAAGTGCACATTCATTGGATACGACATTGATGAGTTCGGGTATCGTCTTTGGGATGAGAAGAACAGGAAGATCATCAGAAACAAGGACATGATATTCAATGAGGATGTAATGTACAAGAACAGGGAAAATGCCAAGGATAGCCAAAGCAGTGGGAGCAACACTATGGATACAGGTGGATCCGAGTACATGGATTTAGAGGAACTTCCAGATAGGGGTGATGATGTTTGTTCTGACCATAGAAATGAGGAGGCTCCAGATGCAAAAGAAACTACCCAGAGCGTGGAACTTAGGAGGTCATCCAGGGTACCCAAACCAAATTCCATATATCTTTCATCTCTTAACTACCTATTGTTGACAGATAGCGATGAGCCGGAGTGCTATGAAGAGGCAATACAAGTGAGTGAATCTCAGCAGTGGGAGCATGCTATGCAGGAGGAGATGGATTCTCTACTCACTAATGAGACATGAGAGTTAGCCTAACTACCTGCACAGAAGAAGGCCTTACATAACAAATGGGTCTACCGGGTCAAGCAAGAGAGTGATGGAAGCAAGAGATTCAAGGCCAGATTAGTAGTGAAGGGGTTTCAACAGGGAGTGGACTACACGGAGATATTTTTCCCTGTTGTGAAACTCACAACCATCAGAGTAGTGTTGAGTTTGATGGCTGCAGAAGACCTCTTTCTTGAGCAGTTAGATGTGAAGACTGCTTTTCTTCATGGTGACTTGGATGAAGAAATCTACATAAAGCAGCTTGTTGGCTTCATTGAAGAAGAAAAGGAAGAGATGATGTGCAAGCTCAAGAAGAGCTTATATGGTTTGAAACAGGCTCCGAGACAGTGGTATAAGAAGTTTGATAACTTCATGCAGAACAATGGCTACAGAAGATGCAATTCGGATCATTGCTGTTATTTTAAAAGGTTCGAGTCTAGCTTCATTATTTTGTTATTGTATGTTGATGGCATGTTGATAGCAGGGCCGTGTTTGGAGGAGATAAACAGTTTGAAGAAGCAGCTAGCAAAGGAATTTGCAATGAAGGATCTGGGTGTAGCGAAGCAGATTCTAGGGATGCGAATCAGTAGGGATAAAGCTGAAGGGACATTGAGATTGAGCCAAGCTGAATATATTGAGAAGGTACTTCAGAGGTTCAACATGCAGAATGCTAAAGTTGTTAGCACACCCCTTGGAAGTCAGTTCAAGCTATCTGAGGAGCAATCATCTAAGACAGATGCAGATAGAGAGCATAGAGCAGGGTGTCATATTCTTCGGCCATTGGGAGTCTCATGTACGCGATGGTTTGCACGAGGCTGAACATCGCCCATGCAGTGGGAGTTGTGAGCAGATTTACAAGCAATCCAGGGAATCAGCATTGGGAGGCCGTGAAGTGGATAATGCGGTACTTGAGAGGGACAACGAACAAGCTATTATGTTCCAGGAGGAAGGAGTTGGTGCTGCAGGGATACTTGGATGCGGACTTCGTCGGTGATCATGATACGAGATGAAGCACCACGGGTTATGTTTATACCTTAGCGTCAACAGCAGTGAGCTGGGTCTCATGTCTGCAGAAGATTGTCACTTTGTCTACAACCGAGGCTGAGTATGTCACGGTGACTGAATCAAGCAAGGAGATGATCTGGTTGAACGGGTGCTTGGAAGAGTTGGATCTAAAGCAAGGAAGAGGAGTTCTTTATTGTGATAGCCAGAGCGTTATATATCTTGTCAAGAATCCAGTATATCATGTCAGAATGAAGCACATCGACGTCAAATATCATTTTATACGCTCGCTAGTTGAAGACGGAAAGTTGCATTTGATAAAGATTTTTGGGAGTCAAAATCCGACGGACATGTTGACAAAGGCAGTCACCATTGAGAAACTGGAGTTGTGCGCAACTTCAGTTGACCTTCACGAGTAGAAGACGAAGGCGGAGCTACACTACAAGGATCGGCGCGATTGTCGGGTTATTGTTAATTGAAGAAAGAATTTTTTTTTCGGGGGAGAAGATACATGCAAAGAAGGGGAGAGTTCGGGTGAACTCACTGCAGGTACTTTGATCTCCAAGTGAAAGATTGTTAGTCTAAGATGTAGACCCAAAGTCGAGACGAAAGCTGGTGTTTGTTGGAAATTTGATGTAAAAAGACAATGAAAGAAAATTTGACTTGTATTCTCTCAAAATCGATTACAATTTGGATTCCGATTACAAAAGAGAGGAGAATGAATTTGATTCTCCCCTTTGTTTAATTCTGGGTTCTTCACGGTGGCGATGGAGTGCCTCCCTCGAATGCTCGCGTCGAGTTTGCTTCTCGTTGACGATCCGAACATCTTGATTCACTGGAACGACTGGAACGATGTCTTCTCCTCACGATTTGACGCTGTGGAGAACTTGCGTGGCAAGTTTGAAAATAACTCTGAACGAGTTGATAACTCTGAACGAGTTTTAGAAGAACTTGCAGAGCAAGTTTTGAACTCTGATCGAGTTGATAACCCTGACGAGTTTTAGAAGAACTTGCAGAGCAAGTTTTGAACTCTGGTCGAGTTGATAACTCTGAACGAGTTTGAACTCTTGAAAAAGAGTTGATTTGAACCGAAAGTCGGTTATAAGCCAAGAGAATGCTCCTGTTGCCGAACTTGGAGATGATCTCTGTTGGAGAATGATCCGATTTCCAAGAAATTCCCTCTTTGCTGCCAAGTCTCAGATCCCAAAAAGCCCTTGACCGAATCTCTCTCTGTTGATGAGATAAAAAATTCGATCCCCAAGCTAGCCGCATATCGCTTCTTTTCTGCCCAAAAAAAGAAGCCCTGAACTCAGTTGAGTTTCCCACTATTTATAGGGGATTTAGGGTGGTAACTATCCCCTTAATCCGCTCTTAAGTGGGGCGAAAATCCCTCAAATCGTGGGGAAAAACAGTTCTTGGAACTGTTCATTGCGTGCTTGAACGAGTCAAACGCTAAAAACGGCGTTCTGGGCCTTAACTCTGCGTCTAAGGCCTGAGACGCAGAGTTAAACCTTTGTCAAAGGTTTGAAACGCACAGGCCGCATGCGTTCTGGAATTGGAGACGCACAGGTAGCTTGTGCGTTGAAATTCAACTCTGCATCATGAGTTTGGGACGCATGGTTGAGTTTGTTGAAGAACGCACGTTATGTGTGCGTTTGTGCTTTAACTCTGCGTCACAGAGTTAGATGTCTGCTGGAAAACGCAAAGTTAAGCCTGTTTTAGGCTGAAAATGCACAGTTCGTGCTGTTTTAGATATTAACTCTGCGTTTTGATGTTGAAAACGCAGAGTTAAGCCTGTTTAAAGGCTGAAAACGCACAGTTGTGCTGTTTTAGAGATGAACTCTGCGTTTCAGTCTGAAAACGCAGAGTTGGGCCTGTTTAAAGGCTGAAAACGCACAGTTGTGTGCTGTTTTAGAGAGGAACTTTGCGTTTTAGGCTGAAAACGCAGAGTTGGGCCTGTTTAAAGGCTGAAAACGCACAGTTGTGCTGTTTTAGAGATTAACTCTGCGTTTTGATGTTGAAAACGCAGAGTTGAGCATGTGCGCTTTGACTCTGTAATGCAGAGGCGAACCTTAGGCGGGCTTGGCGAGCTTCAAGCTAAGTCCAATGTTCTGACGAAGTCCGGTCTTGCAGACGGACTTCAGAACATAATTTGCTACGAAGAACAGGTCATAACTTTCAAACCGTACGTCGGAATTGGACGAATTACATATGAAAATCGGCTATCTAGAGTCGTCAGATTGTAACTCCCGATGTTGATTGTGAAGGCTGTTGAATTAGAGCTTTCATTAGTTGTTGTGAAGGTCGTCAGATTGTAACCTTCTACGTGAAAGTCCTCAAATTGTAGCCTTCTGGAAGTCGTCAGATTGTAACTTCCATCATTGGTGTTTTGATGGGGGATAAACTATCTATTGTGATTTTTAGACAGCCTACAGCTGGAATCAAAACGACAAAGAGAACAAGCTGACAGATCCACGGTCGACCGCGAGAACCTGGCGGTCGACCGCGAACGTGCACAGGAGCTCAGGAGGAGCTGGATCCTAAGGTTGTCGACCGCGGCGATCGATCGCGCCAACCCTGTAATCGATTTAAGTCTCTGTCGTTTGATACGGTAGACCGCGACTGTGTGTGGTCAACCGCGATACCTGTGCGGTCGACCGTGACGGTCGACCGCGACGCAGTTTGACAGTTTCCTAAACTGTTTTGGATTTTGCTTCTACCGTGACTCTATATATACCTTAAATGTTTTTAGGGTTTATACAACACGAAAAAAGAGTTTTTTTTTTACTGCAGAAAGAGAGAGAATCTCAGAGAGATTAAACCCTAGTTTGAGAGCTTGTACTTCTTCTTCAATTAATAAAGAAATTGTGTGGTGTGGTTCCCAAGGACGTAGGCATGTTGCCGAACCTCGTTAAATCTGCGTGTTCGTCTCTTTTACTAGTTTTGCAAGGTTAGATCTTTATTTGTGCTATTATTCCTACTTTTCTACTTTCAACATAAGGTCTGAAAGGACAAGTGTTCGATTGATTGTTTCGAATCCCCAACAGGAGGTAAGTCGAAATTGTCTATTTATCATCACATTTGTTACTTTTTAGACAAAAGTGTCGCCAACCTCACTTTTAGACTAAATTGATAAAAAGGTATCACTTATGGCCTGTTTTTTCAAATTCCAGTCGGCGGACCGCTCATTGTTCCTCCAACGGATCTTTTCTCCACGTGTCACCATCTTAGACCATCCTTAAATCCGACGGCCCAAAAAGTCGCGTTCATTCACCGCAACCGAAGCTTCTAGCAAATAAAACCCCATTTCTAGTTCTAGGGTTCCAAGTCTTTGTATAAAACCCTCGCATCTCTCTTCTTTCTTCAATACTTTCGTTAATAAAAATAATTTGAGATCTGAGAAAATCAAACAACGAAATGGTAATTTCTTCACATCTCTCGCATTCTCGATTAGGGTTAGGGTTTTGTATACACTATTTGCTCTAATCTCGATTCTGTTCGTTTCAGGCGTTGCCGAATCAGCAGACCGTGGATTACCCTAGTTTCAAGCTCGTCATCGTCGGCGATGGCGGAACTGGTGATTATTTTTTGTTTTTAGCTCTTTTGATTTATGTAAAATACTTGATTTTTATATCTTTGATAGCTAACTTGAGCCAAAATCGTTTCTTTAGGGTGTCAAGGCCTTTTTCGTTTTCATTTATCTTTCTAGGGTTTATGATACATTTGAGCTGGAAGCTAACTTCTTTTTTATTTTAAAACTTATGCTTTATTTTTGCTCGATTAAACTCATCTGTTGGTTTATGCGTGATTTAGGGAAAACTACATTTGTGAAGAGACACCTTACTGGTGAATTCGAGAAGAAATACGAACGTAAGAGGCTCTTTATTTATCCTCAGTTTTTTTTAAAAAAAAATATATGTTTATGGTTTGATTTTTAATGCTTTATCCTTTTTTCATACGCGCAGCTACTATTGGTGTTGAAGTCCATCCGTTGGATTTCTTCACGAACTGTGGAAAGATTCGATTTTATTGTTGGGACACTGCTGGGCAAGAGAAGTTCGGGGGTCTCAGGGATGGATACTAGTAAGTTCATCGGTGTTTCCTTTTAGCTTACTTATGTTGGACTGTGTAGAATACATCTCGCGTTTTCGCTCGATCAACTGTAGTTACTATTAGGAGTGGTATTTGATAATTCTCATCTGTGATGTTGCTATGATATGTATTCAGCTGGGCCCTCTCTTGGTTGTTTTATGCAGTACTTTCCGGGAAGTGTCTAGATGTAAAATAACCTACACTCTTTATTTAGCTTAGCTTTAGTTTTCGATGTTAAGCGGTCAGGCAAAGATATTGCTCTTTCAAATAAGTATCTGATCTGGTTCTAATTGGCTTAATTTCACGCACTGTTGTCAGATTGGAGTTGTTACAAATTTTTTTGGTGTAGTTTCTTGTGTAGTTTGGTCGTCTTTGTGCTTTTATATATCTGTTCAATGTGCAATTTTTTTATGTTGTAGTTCAGTCTGCATTTTGGTTATATATCTAGTTTTACCACTCCCTTTTCTGGAAGGGGAAAAAAGAATGCATCCTTTTTTTGTCATGTTATAAATCTACAGACCAATGAGTTTTCCTTCCAATATTTGTGCAAATTTGCCTGAAAAAACGAGTCAGGATATAAATGCATCCTTTTGAATTTTCCTTCTTTTCCACATGGTCTTAGAAACATAGATCTCCATTTATATAGTGCTGTACAGTAGTAGTAGTTGTTGTTGAAGATATTATTTTTGAAGGACATTTTTTAATATGCTATTCATGTATGTCCATGCAGCTTCCACCTTGTCACCATTTTGTTTCTTATCTCGACCATTCTAGTATCTAATTTGATAAACCTTTCCCCTTCATGAACTTTTATTTTTATATCGTCTATTCCAAGACCTGAATTTGTTAGTGGAGATCATTGAAAAGCATTAGCTCTTTAGGATCCTGATCCTGTAGCATTGTGGATGGATATCAATATTATGCCCAGTCATGTGTGATTCTTTTTATTTGAATCCATGATCTGTTTTTCCCTGTGGGCACTTTGTTTTCCCCTTCTTTTAGTCAATATCTATATATAATAGCGAATGGTAGTATCTTCTTCTAGGATCTGAGCTTCTTTAGATCTATTATTCCAGGCTCCATTAGCCGAGAGGAAGTCATGATTAGCTCATGTACTGTAACTCAATTAGCTCATGTTGCTGACCTGTAACTAAATTAGAGGCTCTGGCATTATTTTTTCATATGGTTATTCCATTATTTTTATAGTAATTATGTGCAGCAGTTTAATGCAGTTTGATATTTTCAAGCGTGTTAACATTGGTCTGTTAGATCTAGCTATGCCTTTTTTCTACGACTAGTTCATTCATTCATTTTTTGAAAAGTTATCTTGCCACTTAAACATTGTAACTTTTTTAATTGATCAAGGACAGAGCAGCAAGAATATTGACTTTTCTTCCTTCACTTTGCACTCTTTCTTTGTGTTTGCTTCCCTGATATTTACTGGTGTACAATTCTGCGTTCAAGTCATAAAAAGCATATTTTTCTAGCGCTTCTGTTTGTACACATACATATTTCCTAAGCTCCGTCCACCCAAGCACTTGCATGATCTTGGAAATTTAATAGACAACTGTACAAGCTTCTGATGTCACCAAATCGACTATTATATTTCTATTGTTTTACTTTTAAATTTCTAATTCGAGTTTGTGTTTGCAGTTTGATTTGAACTTTGTCAACCATTACTAAAAAGACAGATCTTGCTTGTAAAATCTGCATCTTAAAGTCCACGAGCTGTCACCTTACAACTGTTCCGTGACTTTACTTTCTGTTTTGCTAACTTGTCCTTGTCCTATCTTTTTGTCTCGAATTTGCAGTATCCATGGCCAATGTGCAATCATCATGTTTGATGTCACTGCAAGGTTGACATACAAGAACGTCCCAACATGGCATCGTGACCTTTGCAGGTTTGTTGTTGAATTTAACTAAGAAGATGCTACCCAATTTTGCTGGCCATGATCCTAACCATCCTTTATTCTATGTTAAATATACTCAGGGTGTGCGAGAACATTCCTATAGTTCTGTGTGGCAACAAGGTTGATGTAAAGAACAGGCAGGTGAAGGCCAAGCAAGTGACTTTCCACAGGAAGAAGAACCTGCAATACTATGAGATTTCAGCTAAGAGCAATTACAACTTTGAGAAGCCCTTCCTGTACTTGGCAAGAAAACTTGCAGGGTACTAATAAAAATCAAGACCTTAGCTTTCATCTGCTTATATCAATTAGAATAACAAAAGAATACCTGATTATGCTAATGACCTTACTCTATTGCAGGGATCCAAACCTTCACTTTGTCGAGTCTCCTGCTCTTGCTCCGCCAGAGGTGCATATTGATTTAGATGCACAGAGAAAGTAAGTTTTTCTTCCTCATGTTTTAAATTATTTGTAGGATTATTTCTAGACACAACACCCTCTACTATGTTGTCATTTATATTCTGTAAACTATTCTATTAGCATATACACTCAGAATTTCAGCAATATTTTCTAAGTTAGGTTGTTTAGCTTAGATATTGTGGAGATCTATGTTACCCCGACACGGGATTTTTGGTCCCGTACCCGTGTCGGGTACGTTTTGGGTGCGGATCCGCACCCAAACGGCAGGGACACGGCATCGGGTCAATTGCAACTTTAAAGGAATTCGACGAATCAAATTCACGAACCTTGGGAGCCCAAAGGCGATCGGAGGAGGCGATCTCATGCCACCCGCGAGAAATAACCAGCAATCGTGCCACGTTGCGTGCGTCCAAAAACTCAACTATCCTCGTCACAAGATCCGATCCAAGAACCTCCAGGGGATCCTGATTGGATTCGATCATCATCGGCTCTTCCCCGCTCTCCCTCCCCTCTTCCGCTTCTTCTTCCTCGGCTCCGACTCGTCTCCTACTTCTCCTCTCTCTCTCTCTCTTCTGGTTCTTCTGCTCGCTATTTTCGCCATTGGAGGGGAGCTCGAAGAGAGAGGAGGCGTAAATGAAGGGGGGTTGGGAATTAAAAGTGATAGAGTTGGGTTTGGAAAATGGGACTCGGGAAGGAACTAATTACGGGGCTGCCATCAAAAATATCTAGTTGGCGTGTCCTGCTTCATGGGCCTGCGATCAAAAATGGGCCTGTATCTATCTATTAGGCTTGATGTGTCAGGTATCTCTATATAAAAGTGAAGAGCTTTTTACATATGCATCCCTAAAACCTGTATATTTATATCGACCCTTGAATATTTGCATAAACTTACTATGAACTTTTAAGAACTCGATGAAACTTTTCTCCCTTAGCAAATTCCACTAATAGAGTTTACTGGGGAAAGGGTTTGTATTTTTACAAATTTGCCGTGTCCCCGTACCCTACTTTTTACAAATTTACCGTGTACCGGTACCCGTACCGGTACCCGTACCCGTACCTAGGCAACATAGGTGGAGATTGTGTGATGATGAATTACCTCTTGCCCCTCGGGTTTATTGAAAAAACCAAATTGCCCTCTATGATTGAGTAAAAAAATGAAGTTGTCTGAGTATTGAGGCTGTAGGTTGTAGTTAAAAAAAAAAACTTTCAGGGATCGACTCTTATGTGTTCAATTGACCCTTATTTGGAATAACAAGACTAATTCTGCAAAAGCTGGATCAATTCTTTGACCTTGTTTTTTTTATTGAAACAGGCATGAGGAGGATCTTGCGGCAGCTGCTGCTCAGCCGCTCCCTGACGACGATGATGATGCATTTGACTAGAGCGCATGTTCATCTCTCATTCGCTTCACCATTCTGAAATTTTTTTGGTGTGAAATTTGAGTTCTTCGGTACATTAGGTGTGTGGATTTCTGGACTGAGAGAAAGAAAGATGCTAGGAGGGGAGCTTGGTTGAGGTCTCGGATTGTGATTACCGTTTGCATTTTTTTTTATTAATTTGCAAAATTTGTACCCTATGTTGTGTTAAGGGGGTAGTGTTGCAAGAACCTAATGTTGCTATCAGCAGGTTGGAAGTGAAGCTGGGAGAATGACCAGCTGAGTGGAATTTGATTCCTTCGTCTGCTCTGCGAACTGTTTTATGGGTTGATGCCCCAAGTGTAGTTGCATGCCTCCTTGGTTTATCTTTGAATCTTCTATTGTCACAGGTTAACGTTAGGTTAACCCTCTCTTTAGGTAATTTGTTTTTCTAGCTTCGATTCTACGGGGTTCGCTATTTCCGTGGTTTCTCGTAAGTAATTGATTTTTATGTATGCTTTGGGGGTGGCGGTGTATAGATTGCACCGTCTTCAGATGTTGTAGTTGTTTTGTCATTCTCTAGCTCTCTTAATCTTTTGCTGAGTTATCTGTAGAACTGCATTTTTGGTGATGTTGATGACTCGTTTCGTGTGGCTTCGGGTTATCGCCTTGTAATTTTTCTAGTGTTTGTGTGGTTGGTTTGTATCTTCGAATCTTATAAAAAAAGCAAGTATCAAGACTAAACTAGCATGTTCACGTTCTTAGTGACGCTACAAAAAAAAAAAAAAAAAAAAAAAAAAATCTTCTTAGTGACCCAAAAAAAAAAAAAAAAAAAAAAACTAACATCTTCGAATATTCACATCCTTGGTGATGTTCGGATGGTATTTCTACGTACTTCCGACCCCACCAAGCGATATCCGGACCATGACGTGGGTATTCCAACTCCCAATCACGGTCAAAAACGAGCCGCGCTGCTCTCTACACAACTTTTTTCGGTGAGTGCTCTCTACGCAACTTTAATTCGGTCGAATCGAAACGGGTCAAGCTCAAACAAGTTGGGCTCGCTTACTTTTAGGGGGTGTTTGGTTGTATTGTTTTTGAGAAATGTTTTCTCAAAAGTACTGACGCATGACATTTATATAATTAAGAGTTTTCTATACATTTTTATAAACTGTGTTTGGCTCCAAAAAAATTTACAGAAATGTTTTCTGTAAAGTGCCCAAAAGTACCAAATTTTATGGAAATTGATTTCCTTCTAAAATGGTAGAAAATCTCTTGGAAATCTGACGCATTCATTATTTAAATAATAAAACTCATTAACTCTTTTCTACAAAGTTCTCACTTTTCTATAAAGTTGGTAGTGTTTGGTTACATTTCTATAAATTATAGGAAATGTTGCTATTTTCCCAAAAGTTATTTCTCATTTTCTTGTTTTGAACCAAACAAGCACAATACAAAAAATAAGAAAACTTGTACTTTTTAACATCTCAAAAATTTTCTTATAATTTTTTTAAGAAATACAAGAAAATCAAATTTGGGATAGAAAACATTTCCTATAATTTATAGAAATGTAACCAAACACCCCTTTAATTAAAGTTATATAGCCTCCGGAAATACAAAACGGGCCAAAACTCGAACATGACCCGTTGCAATCGATCACGACGAGAGAAGAGAACCCAGCAGCAACCGCCGTCCCCTGCACAGTGAAGGATTACGGAAACCTCCTCTCCTCCTCCTTCTCTAGAGAGAGAAACTAGAGAGAGAAAGCATCAAGCTTCATGCTCCCAACAAACCTCGAACGCCACCAAACGAATACTTTTTCTCCCCCCTAAAAAAGAGGAAACCCCCCAAGAATCCGACCCGATCGATCGCCTGGCGCACTCGTTGCTCGCCAGCGCCCTCCTCTCCTCCTCGCGGTGACGCTGCCTCCTCCGCCGGCGCGAGGGCTTGCGACTAGGGCCAACCGCCCTGTCCGGGGTCGGAGTCGAGATCTTCCTCACAGGTTCCGCACCAGCTTCGCGAGGCACCGTCCAAAATCACAGCGGCTGCTCCCTTCTCGTCGCAACTGGTTCGACATGCTGCCCCGGATCGCGCGACGCGGTCTGTCTGGTGGGGCGCCGACGGCGACGACTTCGCCAACCTCAGCCGCGGCTACCCGAGTCTCTTCGCGCCCCCCGCTCCCGGGTCGCTGGGCAGGCCGGCTACCGCAACGAAACCCATAAGCCGTCCCTCCTTGCCTAACCTCACCTCCGACCGGATCAGGGTCCCTTGGGGCTTTGGGACCAGTCCATCCGCTTCAGATTTCGGCCACGTGGTTTTGCCAACCCTAGGTGCCGGAAGTTCAGATCCCGGCCTCTCCCCCGCCCCGTCGCCGAGTTCTGTGCCGGGAGACGCCCGATCGAAGAAGCCGGTTCATCGGGCGCCGACAATGATGGAGAATTGCCGCACGATCTCACCGAAGTTTCGTCTCAGATGGAGTCTAGGCTCGGATTCGATCTCGATTGGGCTTGAAGCTGCTGTTGAATCTCAGTATTATATGGCTTTTGGGTGGGCGGATCCGAAGCTGCCGTCGGTTTCGATGATCGGAGCGGATGTCACTGTTGCTGGATTCACCGAAGAAGCTATTCCATTTGCTGAGGATTATTACATTACTAATTATAGTGAGTGTCTATTGAACAAAGATGGAAATGTGGAAGGGGTCTGTCCTGATAGAACCTATCAAGGATTGGATGCTAACGGATTGGTGAATAATTCCAGATTGGTTTATGGTCTCCGGAGAGATGGGGTTTCGTTCGTTCGATTTGATCGCCTGTTGAATTCAACCGATAACAAATATGATATCTATGTTGATAGAACAGCAAATATGACCGTGATTTGGGCGATGGGGCTTATTCGTCCGCCGGATGCTCTAAGGCCTTACTACTTGCCGCAGAATCATGGAGGTCCAAAGTTTAGTTCTTTTGGGTACTTCGCTTTCAATGTATCTGAAGTGTTTGATGACTGTCTTGGTCCGTTGGATTCGGAATACAAAGAGGATCGGGGGCTAATCGTTAGTGATGGTAAGACGCCGGTCGTCGTGACTTCAGGACCAGCTTTGCACTACCCAAACCCTCCAAACCCGTCTAAAGTTCTGTATATAAACAAAAAGGAGGCGCCTTTGCTTAGAGTTGAGAGGGGAGTTCCTGTCACTTTCTCTATTCAAGCTGGCCATGACATTGCTTTCTATATTACATCCGATCCAATTGGAGGAAATGCGACTTCTCGAAATTCATCAGAGATTGTTTATGCTGGTGGGTCACATGCTCATGGTGTTCAGGCGAGCCCGATGGACTTGGTTTGGTCACCAGATAGAAATACACCAGATCAAGTTTACTATCACTCTGTGTTTGAGCAGAAGATGGGTTGGAAAATTGATGTGGTTGATGGCGGTCTTTCTGATATGTATAATAACAGTGTTTATTTGGATGATCAACAGGTTTCGCTGTTCTGGACTTTGTCTCCAGACTCAAATTCTATTTCTGTTGCTGCTCGAGGTGAGAAGAAGAGTGGGTATGTAGCAATTGGGTTCGGTGGTGAAATGGTCAATAGTTTTGCTTATGTGGGTTGGGTTGATAGTAATGGAGTAGGGAGGGTGAGTACTTATTGGATCGATGGAAGGGATGCAATGAGTGTGCATCCAACAAAAGAGAATCTAACTTATGTCAGATGTAAGTCGGAGAATGGGATAATTACATTTGAGTTCACTCGCCCTTTGAACCCTAGTTGTAATGGAAGGGTGGAATGTAAGAATATTATTGATTCTACAACTCCTATGAAGGTTGTTTGGGCAATGGGAGCAAAGTGGTCAGATGAAAATTTGAGCGAAAGAAATATGCATTCAGTTACTAGCAGTAAGCCTGTTCGAGTTCTTTGGCTTCGAGGATCTGCAGAGGCTGACCAGGACCTGAGGCCAGTTCTTGCAGTTCATGGATTTATGATGTTTGTGGCTTGGGGAATCTTGCTTCCTGGGGGAATTATGGCAGCAAGGTATTTGAAGCATGTGAAAGGTGATGGTTGGTACCAAATTCATGTTTATTTGCAGTATTCTGGAATTTCTATAGTATTGCTCGGCGTTCTCTTTGCTGCCGCTGAGCTCAGAGGCTTTTTTGTTACTTCTGTTCATGTCAAATTTGGTTTGGCTGCTATTATATTGGCTTGTGTGCAACCAGTGAATGCGTATTTGAGGCCTAAAAAGCCGGTTAATGGGGAGGTTGCTTCTACAAGGAGGATACTTTGGGAGTATTTTCATGTTATCACTGGAAGGAGTGCTATAATAGTTGGAATTGTAGCTCTTTTTACTGGAATGAAACATTTGGGACACAGATACGGTAGTGAGAATGTTGACGGGCTTACTTGGGCCTTAATATTATGGGTTTTGTTTGGCTTGCTTTTGGCTATGTACTTGGAGTACTTGGAGTGGAAGCAAAGGAGGAGAGATGGGAATTCTTTCAGAGGCAATTGGGTGCTGGGGAATGGTGAGGAGGATGACTCTGTCGATCTATTGCATCCAAACAGAACAGTTATTGATTCAGAGTCAAATTCAAATGGAAGGATGGAAGTCCAGCTTGAACCTCTGAACAGATGAGAAACATCTTATTAATACATCTTGGTAACATCTCATTATGTGCTTCACAGTGGTGGCTATTCCGATTTATAGAGGGGAATTGGACCGATACTTGTCTGATTTGATGAGCACATATTTGTTGTACGAGGTATTTTTTTCCTCGTCACATGGTGCACCTAGAAAATGATTCGTATAGTTATCAGGCCCATTGGTAGACGCACCTGATACATTGTTTGTATACATGTACAATTTTGGCATACTGAGGATATCAACATTTATTTGTTGTGAGTTCGCTGCTCGTCTCAGCTCTTATTAGCTTTTGCGTTACGAGGACTGAATTTCTGTGTTTGGTGATGATGGTTTTCATGCACAGCATTATTTTCTTCAACACGGAGGAAAGGTATTTCTTTTATCTGCTTTGTGGAACCTTTATGTGTCTGCCTGTGATGTTAAATTGGGCATTTTATTTATTTATTTTTACCAGAAAGTTTGTTTTTCTCCTAAATGTTACATGTTTGTATTGTCTGAATGCTATTGTTTTTGCTTGTTAAACATTCAAGCATTATGCTTCTAAGGACATCTGGTAGCGTCTAATCCATACCCAAACCCGCCGGATACTCGGATAAACCCTTACACTGTTAGGTAATGGTTTGTCTAAGGGCACGTAGAGGAGAAACTGTCAAAAGGGGATGATACCAAGGGTCTTTTCGACAAGTTGCTACATTCAAGAAGCAAAATTTACATATGTTGGTGTTTAGTGCCTATTTTTGGCTGTCTATAGTAAATCAATGGGGAGATTTATTTAGTTGTCCACCTGAACTCTATTTTCAGTATTTTGATGATTCCTTGCGTACATTATGAAAAGAGGCATTAGCTGGCACTTCATTTAAGGATTATAAGGGGGAGAAGGCGGAGCGTTCAAGTGAGTTCGGATTATCTGAAATTCAATATCTGAATATGGACTATGCATAATCAATCTGAAGTTCAATATCTGAATATGGACTATGCATAATCAATGTTGTTTCATAGAATACAACACAGACATGAGACTGTGATGTTTTCTTAAGATCTAACTTATTAGGTTATATACAGTTGGAGGCTTCACTTGTACGTAAAGTAAGCGAGAGACGCGGTTTGACTTTGTTATTTTCAAACCTTTTCTTTACATCTGATGGAAGTTTCTCAGGAAGGAGTCTTGAACACTTTTCAACCATTTGATTCCTTCAAGATCCATGCTGATGAAGCTGCATTGATGTTGACGAGCACATTATGTGCACTATGAGTAATTACGTTCTTGTACAGGTATGATGTAATTAGACTGGTGACCTTGGGACTCCATGTATCTACACAAGTAAACTTGAGATAATTAACAAAGGTTACTGGCTATACTAGTGTCTGGATTTAGGTTCATAAGAATGGAACTTTAGTCGGTACTCTTTGCTATAACTTTAACCCCAATCCGAATCCGAACCCTAACCCTAACCAAAAAATTCTAACCTTAATACTAACACGATCCAACATCCAATGAGACCATGTCAGCAGAAACAAACGGCGTTAACCTGCCATTGGATTCTAGGGTCACATGTGTAATTACTAATGCTAATCTGAGGACCACTAATATTTTCTAGAAATTTCGCAGTACTTTTTTTTTTCAGGGATAAGCTCACTCATCTAGAACTATGGGGACTGAAATCAGTTATTTCCTTTTGAGTTCAAGGATTTACTTGATTTGCACAAAGATCAGGCAGGCATTTCTTGCATATGCTTCTTCCATCAAGGATTCAACTTCGATAACGATGCACATAGTAAATGATTCTTTTTTATATAACGAGAACAAAAACAAAAGCCTTTGTCCCATAATTTTTTAGTTCGACTACATGAATCATATTATTTTATTAAGAAATGATCCTTTCTATGAAGGCAAGAGGTTTGTGTTTTCGCCAAAAGTTGGTTTTGCTATAGAATTCATTATATCTTCAATCGATTACAATAAATTCAAAAGAGATAGTCTTTTATAAGACTTCTTTTACACAGCAAAATGAAAATTGCAACTCTTGAGAAAATAACATAAAAATCGTCTTTCGATTCTTGTTTTGTGGGACTTTGCCTGTGCCGGGAGTGCTTTGACTCGTGGACTGCCGAATCACAGATCGTGAAGGGGGCCTTAATGATTCTTCCTTCGTTTATCGAAGTGAGAATTTGAAACGAAGATCTTATCAAAGTAAGATGATCGTTCTTCTTAAGATCAAGTCAAAGCTCGAATCTCAAGGAATCACACCAAGAACTCAAATCTGCTCTCTCTCTGCTCTGGATTGCTCTATCAAGTGCTCGATCGGGTGCTCTCTAATCAGCCCCCTTTTGTAACCTTTGTCCCACTACCTAAATACCATCCTTTTATGATGTTAGTGGGTCTCCTTTCAGTTTGTAACCATCTCCCCACGTTTATGAATGATCTCAAGTAATTATGAAGCTAAAAAACCGTCAAAAAACGTGTTGTAACCAACTCTATGGCCGAGACAGTGAAGTCTGTCTCGCACTTCCGAGACAGTTTGTACTATCTCGGGTATTTTGGTTCTAACTCCCTCGTCTGATGTCGGAATGAGATGATCCAAGATGCGTTGGAAAGCTGACGAAGAGATCTACAACTTTTGTCTTTTGACCTTCTTCAGATTTGGTGCGAGACAGTCATAACTGTCTCGCATTCCGAGACAGTGAAGTCTGTCTCGCACTTCTGAGACAGTTTGTGTTGTCTCGGGTATTTTAGCTTTAACTCCCTCGTCCGATCTCGAAATGAGATGATCCAAGATGCGTTGGAAAGATGACGAAGAGATCTATAACTTTTGTCTTTTGACCTTCTTCAGATTTGGTGCGAGACAGTCATGACTGTCTCGCATTCCGAGACAGTGAATTCTGTCTCGCACTTCTGAGATAGTTTGTGTTATCTCGGGTATTTTAGCTCTAACTCCCTCGTCCGATCTCGGAATGAGATAATCCAAGATGCGTTGGAAAGCTGACGAAGAGATCTACAACTTTTGTCTTTTGACCTTCTTCAGATTTGGTGTGAGATAGTCATGACTATCTCGCATTCCGAGACAGTGAAGTCTGTCTCGTACTTCTGAGACAGTTTGTGTTATCTCGGGTATTTTAGCTCTAACTCCCTCGTCCGATCTCGGAATGAGATAATCCAAGATGCGTTGGAAAGCTGACGAAGAGATCTACAACTTTTGTCTTTTGACCTTCTTCAGATTTGGTGCGAGACAGTGAAGTCTGTCTCGCATTCCGAGACAGTGAAGTCTGTCTCGCACTTCCGAGACAGTTTGTGTTGTCTCGGGTATTCCGAGACAGTGAAGTCTGTCTCGCACTTCCGAGACAGTTTGTGTTGTCTCGGGTATTTTGGCTCTAACTTCCTCGTCCGATCTCGGAATGAGATGATCCAAGATGCGTTGGAAAGCTGATGAAGAGATCTACAACTTTTGTCTTTTGACCTCCCTCGTCCGATCTCGGAATGAGATGATCTAAGATGCGTTGGAAAGCTGATGAAGAGATCTACAACTTTTGTCTTTTGACCTTCTTCACATTTGGTGCGAGACAGTCATGACTGTCTCGCATTCCGAGACAGTGAAGTCTGTCTCGCACTTCCGAGACAGTTTGTGTTGTCTCGGGTATTTTGGCTCTAACTCCCTCGTTCGATCTCGGAATGAGATGATCCAAGATGCGTTGGAAAGCTGATGAAGAGATCTACAACTTTCCATAGGCAAAACACTCATAGAGTAGATGAGACACACATGGTACTTCACCCTTTTGTGGATAAAGCACAACTCCTGGTTGAGTTGTTCCTTTATCGTTTAGCATGTTTCACAGACTCGTACGCTTCGCCGACTTATTTCGTGTGCTTTTTAGCTTCTCTATAATATCAGATGATCTCCTTTGACTCAGATAATCCTCCTTGACTCGGATAGTAACATTCATCGTTTTTTTTATCTCAAGCTATATGCGAGAACCTATAGGTAATTTTTTATGCCTACAGTTTGCTTGCAAGAAACAGTAGCTTTGGGGAATCAAGACCTGTGGTTCTGATTCTCCCTGGTGAATATGGTTGCCTCTACATGCGCTGCGAGTTTCTCGAAAGTACTTTCATCCAACCAGGATTTTGAGGTATCTTTGATATGAACTTCATCTATGCTCAACATTTATTTATGTTGGGAGCAAGGGAACGCCCACATTGTTGCGGAAGCTAAATCAATCCCGAGAGAAAACAACCCTAGCTTAAGTTTACGCCAAACTCAAACCAACCAATGCAAGCTATAACGAATACATAGATAAAACAATAAGTAAATGAGACGACAGATTTACATGGTTCGGTAAACTTGCCTACGTTCATGGGAGCCACACAAATAATTTCTTATTTAACCACAAGAAATTACAAACTTGCAAAGAGAAGATCTCAAATGAAATATATATTACTGCAGAATTGCTACAGTACCAAGTGTGATTTATTCAATTAATAAATCACCGCTCAATCTCACTGAGAATCACCTTTAAGGCTTCTCAATAAATGCCGCAAGTCTGAGGAAAATAGCCGCTGCACACGAGGAGAGAATTTCCAACTCTTTGTAAATCACGATTTGCAAGAGCGTCTGGCTCAGCCAGAATCGCGGAACCAAGGTTTTCCCTGTTTGCTAGGAAGAACCTTTGTGTAGGAAAACCTAGGGCGAGCTCCAGCTGACTCCAACTGCTGCCACTCCACGCAGAGCAGGAGGCAGAGCGTCGATCTACCATTACGGGCCATCACGAGCAGCGAGCTCTTGTCACATCAGCGTGCAGCCTTGCTCGCAGGGCGAGGCGTCCGACGGCAGGTTGGGAAGCCAGCCTCGGCGCCGCAGACGAGCTCGCACACAAGGGCACTCGCAGGCGAGCCTTGCTGGCGAGCAGGTTCTCCTCTCCCGTAGGCAGCGCCAGGCGCGAGCTTCCTCGCCACTCGCACGCGCACGCAGCGCTCACCAAGGCAACGCGAGGCGAGCCCCTTTGCTTCAGGCGAGCTTCTCCTCCTCCCGCAGGCGAGCTTCCTCGCCCTCGACGCACGCAGGTCCGTTCTTCTTCAATTTATCTATCTGTTGTGATTTCAGAGCTGTGGAAATTGTAGTTGCTCATATGGTCTTGTGCATCTTGGATGTTCTATCGAAAACTGTCATCCGTTTCTTGCTGTTACTCCATAGAATTTCCATGCAAGAGTGTTGTTTTTCTCGCTAGTTGCTTTTATTGCAAAAATAACATTATAGGCACTTAAAAAATCTCAAGTGGGGTCCCCTGCACTGTAGCAGGTGAGGGGTGTGGCTGAGAGTGTGGCTAAGGGTGTGCCTGTAGTGCCACTCTTATTGCAAAGCTTATGGATTTTCATGTGAGAATTTTTTTCCCCCGAACAAAGATAAACTGAGAAATTAGAAATCCTTGCCACATAAACTTTGAATTTGCTTCATCTTGCCAATAAAGTGATTTTTGCATAAACTTGAGTGATTACGCCAAAGTTCTCTTTAATAGAGTTAATGACGTCTCTTAATATATGTGACGAAATAAATT